CGTCGTCCTCCGTTTCGTGAATCGCCTTGTTCTCTCCTCGTACGAACGTACGTTTGCGACTCATACGTATTAGCCCGGGGTACCGATAACCTAGTACCTACAGTCTTCGTCTGTTGACCTTTCAGGCATGATTGGATCTACGGCTGTGAGGAGCCATCCTGTATAGCTCGCAGGGTCATGGAGACACGCAAGCCGTCACACCATTTCAAGGTGCAGTCTCGTCGTGATGGTGACGCATTGAGGCAACTGATTAACCTCCAGAGACTATGTTGGTATGAGCATGTGTTCCGCGTACCACTCCCTTGTCGAACGATGTTTGCCCAAGCAGACAACAGTTGGACGAAGATCAATGACCATCAGAACAGAAGTTAATGAAAGCCTCGGGCAAAATATTTCTTTAAATTGGCAGTGTTACATTTCCCAAAAAGGAGAGCTCGTGGTCAGCCTAGTCAATAGCTAGAGATAGTAGGCAATATCACTTTATCATGAACGGTGACGCTTGTGAACCCACTCAATTTCTGCGCACATCTAATACGCCCACGTTCTGTAGACATACTTACTTTGGTCCTGCTTTCGGCCCTTAGGTTAACCCTTCCAAATATGAGTAGCCGGAGAACAGCAACCAAAATCGGGACATGAAGTTGCAAGGCTAAGGGATATGTAAGGTGAGACTGAGCGATTGCCGACAAAGCAGATCTTTGTGGAAAACTCAGCAAAAACCTTTTGGATTCGTTTAATACTAAGTGTTAAAAATTGCACAGTTCTGTGCAAGAGGTGTATCACAGAGACTGAAGATGGATCAGTGGATTTTATCAGTCATCAGTGACTGATCCTCCAGTAACACCGTTACCGATGTAAAACGAGCAACAAAAAGAACTACATATTTTGTTATCTCCTAAGCGATTTGCACGCATGTTTTGTGCATCCGTAATGTTTTTGCCGTATGTCTACTTATGTTCTACATTGAGTAAATCGCGTGAAGCAATCTGGTTTAGTATTTTTTCCATTTCGAATAAAGGTTTCAACTGAATGGTTCCGTTTATACCGGGAAACTACTACCGGTATTTCATCAACCACTCAACGTTATGTGAGAATATTAGGGATGGTGATGGAGAATTACAGATAATGTACGAAAGCGCAAGGCACCATTAATAGTCCTGGACAAAAAAATCATTCAAGCACAAGACACGAAACAGCTCTAGACGATAAATAAAGCAACCTAAAACACGAAAGGTACAAAACTTTGTGCAGCAATGCTATCAGCAGTTGACCTTCATGGATCAATGAATCAAACCCAGAAGAAGTGATCGTGTTGAAGGTACAGATTGAGTAGGAAATAACTTAACCGGGAAAACTGCGATAAAAGCTTATATTTTCTACTCTAGCGAGCACAAGGATTTTTTTCAAACAATTGTTTGTGTGATAGATGGCGGCGTGGATAAGTTACAAGGTCATAAGAACCCACCGTTCATGGATGATAAACAGTATTCTACACACTGGGAATTCGAGGGCCAAACTATATAGGTTCTCCATATGATAATTATTGCGAAAAACGTTCTGTGGGTATAATATATTACGATCATTGGAACAGTAGACTGATATTAGAACGTTCCAGGACAGAGACGGCCAAAAAGATTGCGCAGTTTGTGGACTCATGTAACCGCTCGTCCTTTCCAGCACACTCACGGATTCTATTGAATCTTTAGTGGTTTCTTATTGGTCTACTTCGCTTTCTCATAGAAATAGACCTATTTTCAAGATTAAGCCTGCCTGACATTAATAATCGCGGATGAAGACTGTAATAGCACGAAATCTTTGCAGTTCTGAATAGAAAATTGATAGGTGGGGACTGCTGCGAAGTTCGACAGTTGTGATCACAGTTCTCGATAAAGGATTTTGGGTTAAGCAATAACCTGATTTCAGATCTGAAACGGGACACATATGCAATCCGAAAAGTGAGTACGATTTTCGGTCTAAACTGGAAGGCTTAATAACACCAACAAGCAAGGGAAGCGAATTAAGGGGAGCGCATTCTGTATAACAAAGGGTTCAGATGAAATCAAACTGAATATAGCACTTACGTCGACACTACCACCGAAGTCTGAGGCTGTCGCATCTGACCCCGGTTTCTGGCGGGCCAACAAGTCCGACTCTCGAACCTCGAAGTTTCCTGATTCACGGAATCGAGATCCAATAGGGCGTAGGCTAACATCTCCGAGAATGGTATTCTGATGTAATTTCAGACGCCATTCCTGACGCAGTTGCATTAGAGTTTTGTGAAATGATCCCCCCTGTGTTGATTTTTTCCTATCTCCAGTAGCTGAGGCTGATATGCGCGACCGGGCATCTGCCAATTCGGAGTACCGCCGTCGCAAACGTTCCGTTCCTTTGAGCAATATTTCAGCCGCTGTGGATAAGGCCTAAATAGAACCGATCATTACAAACGGCTAAGCGGTAGCAACTGACCCTTTTTTTACCGGCAAGCACCAAGGACCAGTTGGGTTCTGGTTGTTCACTGGCAACAGGGAAAACAGATAAGTATCTGCCCTCCTTGATAACAGCCAGTATATCAATAAATGCGTTGATTTCTGTCAACGCCATGCTGAAGTGAATGATAAGAAAAATATTGCCACCATACCGAGTTGCTTCTCGAACCGACGCCCAAAGCTTTGGAGAAACATGCTCCAATGACCTTTTATCGGTCTCAGTTCGATCTGCTTGAGCTACACTTTTATCATCGTAGGTTTTAGAGAAATCGATACGATTTAAAATTTTCTGGAAATGTTCTGCAGGAGTGGGTGGTCTTTTGAATGAACATGCACCGCACAATGTGCCTTACTTCTCTAGCAATTCTCTTCCGTCCAAGCTGATTTCTTGCACATCATACTCGCATAACGCCTCTATAGGAATTAGTAATTGAGGATTGGGGCCGGGCATGATCTAAAAAGCGGACAGAATTCAGTGAGTTATCGTTACTGAACCTGGACCAATAATCTAAAGGTAATAGGTCACTGGTCCACCAAGTCAGTCAAAACAAACATTCTTCTCGTTGACGGGAAAGAACAACTGTTCAAGTGCTAGCACAGTGACACGATCGAAAGGGAGAATAACACGAGCAAAACAACTGATACGAACAAGAAGGCTGACAAATAACATACACGGATCGTGATACGAATTCAGTCAGAGGGTAGAAATGCGGGCGGTGGTGGTGGTGCAATGGTACAGTTGCTGTCACCGGCGTGATTTGGATTATCACCATCATCATCGTACAGCGAAATACAGTGAAACAAACTTCGCTGATCGCTGCCAAACTCGCAATGCATACAAGTTTAGTGGTCAAATTTAAGGTAGACAGGGATTGGACCAATTTCGAGGGAGGGAGAAGAAGATGAGCCACTATGGTCAGCACACAGAGTACTCAATCGAACTCTGCATACATACCGTTTCAAGCATTCTCAACTGATAAGAAACGACAAGAACGCCAATGCTGCCGGTTCGCTGCCATATCCTTCAATGTCTCCAACTAACCAGTTGTGGAGTCTTCCGGACCCCAATCTGGAAGGCGAGAGACACCTACTCTACCTGTGCATTTCTTCGTGCCTCATCTTCACGTCATCTGTTGACCTTCACGTGGTTTCCTCCAGCCCGGATTAGCCACAGCAAATAAAGCGCGATGCGGCAGACGATGGCTGGGCATACGCAATACGTGCACCACCCAGCGAAGTCTACTAATCTGAATTCGGTATGCTAGCAGGTTTATACCTAACAGACTCCCAAACACACGACAGCTTACATCCGGGCTACTAATCCGTTCGCTCCATCCCACGTGGGTTAAACTGAGTAAACACCGATAATCAAAAACTTCTGGTCGAGGAATATCTTCTACTCGCAAATTCAGGGTCTCAGAATCATAAAGCAGGACTGAACGAACGCTAGCACAATATACACGACCTTTCAGCTTCAGTGAAACGTCGTGTCTACGACAAAGGTGTTTCAGTCCTGCGTATGCTGCTCGAGCCTTGGAAATGCGGGGGTTATCTCCTTTGCTGCACTACCGTCATTGGTCACGCAACTACCTAAGTAGGAAAAGTAATCCACCACAACTAAATCCTGGTCATTTAGTGTCAGAGTGGGAGTAGACGGAATCCAGTCCTGCAGCATCACTTTGCACTTTGAAGGTGCAAAGCACATATCGAATCCTATGGTCTGCAGTTCGATCCCCGCCACCACCAGCAAAAGAGACTGCACTTGACGTGGTTCGATGACTTGTACACATCTCTGACCCAACGAGCCACACAGAATAACTTGTGTTAAGTTGAAGATCTAATTATGCCTGGAAGGTCGGAGAGTAAAGGTTAGACAAGTTGGGGATTTGACTAGAATTGGCGTTTCAGTCGGTAAAAAGATGGTGACGGAGTGATCAATCCAATCCGCCTTAACCGCTGCCTTGCGGTTAGGTTCTGATCAGAACTAGACTTTAGTTGAGAAACCTAATTGTTCTCCTGTGTAGTGGCTAGACACCCTAGCAGTACTCGTCCATCAAACCCCAACGCATACACAAACTAAAGATAATCCCATTCTCCATCGGTCGTCGCGTGGTACAATCAGCACCACCCTGTCCATTGCATCCAGCAGGGGGGGTAGTGATAAGTGGGTTACTGCTCAGATACCCCAAACTTTGTCTAACTCTTTGTCCTCCATAACCAACACTCAATTTATCCCTTCTTCCGATCTCTAAAAGTCCTTAAAATAACTTGGTTGTCACCCCCCCCCCTAAGGTCGTTGCCAAATGGCACCGTAATTTATACACTTCGTATGTTTCACACATGTATGACACCAGACTATGCCAAATAAATCATGGTACAATAATCGCTATAAAAAAAACGTTCCATGATTGGCTTCTGGGCTAAATACAGCCAGGTTGTGCAGGCCAATGCAGGTGAATTTTCTTAAGAAATCCACAACCGGAGCCTTCGGCTAGTCAAAGGCTGACCCGCAAGGCAGCGGGGCGGTGTGTTAAAACCGCAGTCTATTGGGAGCCGGTATCCAGTCCATTGGATCATTCACCATTCGGACGGGGTCAAACTTCCAAGGTGCCCAATACACCTCCATATCCAGTCGAGCCGGTGACGACTGCCAAAACCAGGAAGTTGTGTGTATGGTTCATACGCCTCCTCATAGTTGGTTTGGAATCAGGGTTTTTGACCAACTCCCCTAGGTGAACTACCAGTGGTCCACCAACCCGGTTATAGCCCCGGATGTCGGCTTTTCGTCATCTCACTTTGGTGGGAAAACACCGCCACGAGAAGACAGTGAGTAGGGCTTCCTCGGCAGAGGCCATTCGAGACGCTTGGTCGTATGGGTGCATTTCGCGAGGTGCAAGGGTATGGTCACCAGCCCCAACCCTAGACAGCCACCCCCGACGACACTGAGGCAGAGAACAACAAGGGACTTCACTGACCTCGAGATCCATGAGAGGCACGTAGGAGANGGCTTTGTTGGCTTTTTGAGGGACAAACTTTGGAAGTGACCCTTTTTACCAGAACCTTTACAAAGACTCCCCTGCGGAGTACTTCGAGTGAGGGTGGTTATCGAGGCCACAGAAAAAACACTTGGGTCGGAATATGGTGACGATACTATCGTTCGAGCGTTCCATCAAAGACGTGCGGAGGAAGGGAGGAGTGGATGAGGGTGCACGTATAGCCGCTATGTGGGATGGAGTGGGAAAGTTCTGGCAGGACGTGGATTGTTGCTCTGCCATTTCTAGGGCTCTCGCTTGATCGAAGGCCTTTTGAAAATTCAGCGAATTATATTCCAGTAGGCGTTGTCTGATATGGTTAGACCGAATTCCACTAATAAATGCACCTCGAAGAGCATCGTCTCGGTTTCCCTCGGAAGCAGTGGACGTGAAAGTGCAATCTCTTGCTACAGACTACCTATACTGGGTGATCTATGTTCGGATGTTCTCCTCGGACACGACTTCCTCAGCCTTCACAAGAGCGTTCATATATCATTTGGCGGAGAGAAGATTCCGTTTACAGTCTGCTCACGCAGGCCTGCTTCCATAGTGTCCCCGCCACTTATTCAGAATCTGTCTATACATTGTAAGCCTGTCAGCATAAAATCCTGACGATACAACAGGGAAGATCAGAAATTCATACACGAGGAAATAAATCGACTCCTGTCTAATGGTATCATTGAAGTTTCCAACTCGCCGTGGCGCGCTCCAGTGCTGGTGGTCAGTAATGAGAATCACAAACAGAGAATCGTAGTGGACCATAGGTAAACAACCGATCAATTCACCAGCCCGGACGCATATCCACTTCCTAGAATCGACGATATGATAGAGAACATTGCTAAATACAACATTTTTAGCCCTCTAGACCTCAAAAATGCATTTTATCAAATCCTTATTCGGGAAGAAGAAATATGTTTACCCCTTTTGAGGCATGTGAACGTTTATATCAGTTTCATCGTATTGCCTTCGGAATTACCAACAGAGTTTCATGTTTCCAGAAGGCTATCGATAAAATAATCTCTCTTGAAAATCTGAGAGACACATTTGTCTACGTGGATAACATTACTGTTTGTGAGAGAAACGCAACTGAGCACGACAGTAACCTCGGAGATTTCTTGAACGCTGTCTAAAATATATGGTTTGACTTTTAACGACGGCAAAAGCATCATAGACATGAAGGAAATCAAGCTGCTTGGTTTTCAGATAGCGAAAGGCAACATCAAACCGGATCCTGATCGGTTGAAGCCTTTACAAGAAATGACCCATCCACGAATTTGAAATCACAACAAAGGATCGTGGGTTTCTTCTCTTACTACTCGCCATGGATTTCGAACTTTTCCAACAAAACCCATTCACTGGTACATAACCAAATCTTCACGATAACTCCGCATGTAGAACAAAGCTTCGAAAGTCTCAAGCACAAAATAACAACGGCGAGCCTGGTGACCATTCGCTTCACTATCCCCTTTGTCATCGAAACTGATACCTCGGACGTGGCAATTGCTACAGCGTTGAATGACGCCCTGTCGCGTTCTTTTCTAGGACTCAAGGGGAGAGACATCATTCAGTATTTGAGAAAGAAAGGTACGCCGTAGTCGAAGCCGTCCGGAAATTGAGTCACATGCTACTTGGCAAACATTTTAAACCCATCACCGATGCACACGTTCGATTCCGAAACGGCAGAGAGGATAAGGTGCCCATTCGACAGTTAGCACAAGGGCGTAGAGACCACGAACGCTAAAGATGAAAATTCGGCAACTCCAAACTTCGAAGTAAACAACACTGAGGAACCTTTGGTGAACATACCCAAAACTGACATTACTAACATATCCAGTGAAATACCCGTTCAACACAATACTTTGTATATCGCTTTTCTGACTCATCTTCACTAAATGTTTCCAGCTTCCATACGAGCGTTGCATGTCGAATAAAGCCTAACATTTGGGCCTTTCTCGTTCTGGTTTCTCATGCATGCTGCCATAACACTACATCATCATCGTCGTACAGCGAGATACAGTGAAGCGAGCTTCACTGATCGCTGCCGAGCTCACAATGTACACAAATCAAGTGATAAAGCACAAAATGGAGAGAGATTGGGCCTACTTGAAGGGATGCAAAGAAAAAGAACCTCTATGTTCAACACAGAGCACACAATGTAAGTGTTCATGCATAACTTTTTTCAAGCATTCTGACTTGTTAAGAAATGACAACAAGATTGCCACTGCTGTCGGTCAGTTGCCATATCCTTCACTCTCTCCANGGGACCTCGGGGTAATCGTACCTGATGGTTAGAGACAATGAAAGTGAACCTCTATGGTCAACATACAGAGTACACAATCTAACTGTGCGTGCATGCCGTTTCAAGCATTCTGACCTCACAAGAAATGACAACAAGATTGCCACTGCTGTCGGTCAGTTGCCATATCCTTCACTCTCTCCAACCAGCCAGTTGCAAAATCTTTCGGACCCCAACCTGGAAGACGGGAAACACCGATTCTACCTAATCGCTCTGTGTATTTCTTCATACCTCGCTTCCACGTCATCTGTTGACCACCACGCGGTTTCTTCCAACCTGCAGCCGTAACTGCGAATAAGGCGCGGTGTGGCAGACGATGGCTGGGCATGCGCAATACGTGTCCTAACCAGCGAAGCCGACTAATCTGAGTTCGATGGGACAACGAATTCTCCATGGAATCATTACCAAATGAGCGACGCCTCACCTCAGAGTTGCTTAAAAGCTCGTTCCATCCAACCCGCGCCAAACTACGTAAACATCTGCAGTCGAATACTTCAAAACGGTGAATATCTTCCACGCGCAAATTTAGGGTCTCGCAACCATAGAGCAGAACTGGCCGCACACTGGCGCAGTATACACGACCTTTCAGTTTCAACGAAACATCGCGTCTACACCAAAGGTGTTTCAATCCTGCGTAAACTGCTCGAGCCTTGGAAATGCGGGCGGTTACTTCATTCACTATGCCACCGTCATTTGAAACGCAGCTACCTAAGCATGTGAAACAATCCACAACAGCTAATTCTTGACCATCAAGCATCAGCGCTGGGGTAGACGACACCCAGTCTTGTAGCATCACTTTGCACTTTCAAAGTGCAAAGCGCATGCAGAAAGGGGATACAGAACTTGCTAGTCTGTCAAGAGCGCATTGCGCATCCTCCATAGATTCGAAAAGGCATACGATGTCATCAATGTACTCTAAATCGCACAGCTTTTCTCTAGATGCCCATTCAATACCTACGTTCTGGAGACCAGTAAGTGCGTTNATGCAGAAAGGGGATACAGAACTTGCTAGTCTGTCAAGAGCGCATTGCGCATCCTCCATAGATTCGAACAGGCATACGGTGTCATAAGCGTGCTCTAAATCGCACAGCTTTTCTCCAGCTGCCCATTCAATACCTACGTTCTGGAGACCAGTACTTCGTCTACAACGAAATTGAACGAATGGCGAAATAGGGCATCCTTGACGGACACCGCTCCTGGTTTCGGATAATTTACCTAACCCACCATAGACCCTTACACTACCAGAAGTATGCAGA